GTCTGTGCCGCTTCCTCCAGTGAGGTGAGCGTGGAGGTTGGTAGAGAAAAGCTTTAGAACTGTCTGGTGACCATACATCGGTAGACACTTGACATTTTGCTTGACACACAACAACAAAAACAAAGTGAAGAGCAAAAGATGCAGCAGATGGCATGCCGTACACACTGGCGCCATAATGACCCATGAAGTGAAGGAGGATATGCAGAGGGTGTGACAGAGGAGGATAGGGTAAGATGGATGCAGATGATCCAGTGAGAGGGAGCAATCACAAGAAGAATTAGGAAGCATTTCATTTCACTGCATTTCGTTAACTTTTGGCTTCTCCCTCTCTTGTATTTTGTCCTTGTCTATCTTTGCCCTCCTTTTTTCCTCTTCTCTTTTGCTGCCTTTCCATGACAAATAATTGGCTTTTTTGTTTGAAAATGAAAGAAACAGTCCAGACAGAACTTTGCTATTAAGATTATACTTTTAATTTTTGTATAAAATAACAAAAGCCAATAAAAATATGTACATCTGTAAAAACAAACAAAAAAAAACAAACACAATACACGAATTAAATCTAAATATTGTTCACTGAAGTAGTCTGTGGTGTTTGAATGCTAGCATTCAGCTAAAACCACTCAATTCAGAGTCCCTCTGGTCCTCAAGTCCTGTAGCAGCTTAAGAAGCTGCTCTTAAACATCGGCCATCATCTTCCTGTGGCACACTGGAAACTACAACACCCTTCATGCTGCTCCATGTGAGGAGTGGACAGGGTGATGGAACAACACATCTCATTATTCCACTGTACTCGTGCTCTGTGCTCACTGGTCCTGAAACACACGGATCACAAAGAAAGCGGTTCATACATAGTCTGACTGAAACCTTGCAGCAAACACTTGTGTTTGGTTCCTACCTTTTCAGAACTTTTCACTTCTCACCATCCATTGTTAAATTCTCACTTTTCTTTTTCTGCACCTGAAGGAAACACTTTCTCAGTTACAAAGTACACTCAGGACCAATCGGACAAATTAAATGCAGCCGCATTTAAAAACACACACACTTGTAAAAATCATCCTACCTCATTCACGGCATCATCGATCTGTTTGAGCTCTTCGTACCGGTCTCTTGACTCTCTGAGTGGCTTTACCATCACCTCCTCAATCTGTGGGAACAGCTAACAGATGCACACACACACATGCAGTCAGTATTAAAGCTGCAAACGCCTCATTATTTTGTGTTTATAAGAGTCAAAATGTGTGAAGTCAAGAGACAGTGTAACAGTGTATAACAATAAGCAGTCCATTTAGATCCTTAGCACAGACAGGTTTACACTTGTAAAATGTAACACTTTGGAATTTTAGCAGGAACTTCCTGGTTGGAATTTATAATTATTACTGTGACAGTTTATGCATTATCCTCCATTTTATCATTATTGCTGATGTGTCACTGCTAAAGCACACATTTACGGTAACAGGTGCTTGAGGTGGAGCTAGTTTAAACTGCTGTATATACTCATTCTTATAGGTGATCAAAAAGTTCTGCACCATCACCAACAAAAAATCTATTTTGGCTAATCTCCCTTTAAGGCCATCTGCTACTGGACCTCTGCACCACTTCCTGTTCTCCCATTCTTGCACACTTACACAGAGAGCAAGTGTTAACTTCTCTGACTATGAAAGGGTATAAAGGATACATTTACATGATGACTGAAACTAGCACCACTGGTGAACAATTCCTCGATTCTGGCGCAGTGTGATTTGGAGTTTGAAAGCCACAGAGACACCGTGTTTAGGGAAAATGTGTTTGTTATTGATCATTGATCAACAATTTGCATATTTATG